CTTGTTCTTTGGCTCTCCACGTCTCTAATTAATTGAATCTTGAAATCGTTGGACTTTCAGCTTAAGAGAAGACAGAAGAAGGGAACTTAACAACACTGCCTATTCCTTTATGTCTAGGAAGGGCTAAAAAAAAAAAAAAAAAAAAAAAAACCAACACCTGTAATGCTAAAAGACTCAGGCTTTTGTCTGTTTCTAATATTACTTTTCTGCCTAATTGCCATCACTGCCGCGTACATTAGGCCCTTTTTCAGCAGGGTTAAAACAGGGCCAGTGATGAATGGAAAACTGATTGTACTGCTGTCAAACTTGAATGTGAGGCTTATTCTAGAGATAGAAGTATGAGGAAAAGGACAGAGAATTGCACTTCATTAAAGCTCTACCAAGCTGATTGGAGTGGAGGAGGTAATTGAGATTTAAAGTGGCATTCCCATCACACTGTCCCTTTTTCAACTTAACAACTGTCATTCAAGCCACATAGGGCAACAATTGGCCAGATTTCCCAGCTCTTCTGAGTAATAAAACAGACACTCACCTTCTGGCTATTCGTTTTACTTACTTTGTTCTAATTTCCAATTCATGTGTCATTAGTGAACGAAGATTGACAAGAAATAGCTTTGACCTCACAGATTTGACCTTTAACCTCAGAGACCCAACTCTAGACTGAACATAGGTTGGAATATGCTAAGAAACACCTTTCCTTTGCACAAGAATGAATGGCAGTTTTTTCATCATTGTACCACCCCCTGCTTCCACTACATTTAGACTATGAGACATGTCAACTGCCTGTCACAATTACAATAGACACAGCAAACCAGAATTTTCCCCAAATCCAAGGGGAACTTCCTGAACAAAGAGTAAATTTTACTGCACAGATTTTGGAGACCTCCAATTTGTGCAGGCATAATGAATGCAGCCTACAGACAAATAGGTAGTTGTTAATTATCCCAGCAATTTCTTTTTTTAATGTGCTAACAACACAGCATGCTAAGCCCTCATATCTTACACTGTTACCTGATGATCTCATCACATTTGAAAAGATGGTAGTCTGGAGGAAGGCATTATTATTGCAAGTATGCATGACAATAAGTTACATGGAAATAATCCCTTATATTTTTTTCATGATTTAATAATAAGCGTGACAGAAGAGAAACAGATGGATTCTACTACACCTTTCATAGTGGACTGAAGTCCTCTACCTATATAGCAACCCTTTAAGGGTAACTTAATCTTTTTATTTTCCTTGGGCAATTATCCTAAGGCTTGTATATACTAATTTAGTGTCATATTACTCATCAGAGCATTTTGTGGATGAATAATAACCAAAGGGCAAGACCTATGACCTTAATAAGAACCCTCAACGAATTTTAGAGTAATTTGTGCCTTTTACATAGTAGTCTTTTAGAGCTCTACAGTTCTGAATGGAAATTTGATCCCAGTAAGTCTATTGTATTTGGAACATTGTTTTTGTTCCTTCATATTTAGTGAATAAATATTTGGATGGTACCAGTATTAAGCTACCAATAAACACAATAATTGAATACACCATTTCATTGTTATCAGGGGTTTAAAAACTTGATTGTGTCTTTTTTTAGATTAAACATTTTGAAAACAGAGGCAGGTTACTTACTGCAGTGACTTCAGTTTAATTAGATGTGCAGTCATTTCATTTTTTCCTTGAATATTCATTCTTCTATGTAAAAAAGAAAAAAAAAAAACCACAGGCAGGTTACTGCATTGACTTCACTCTAATGGTATACACAGTCATTTAGTTTTCTCCTGTAATATTCATTCTTCTGTTATAAAATATATTTGCATAGCTCATTGTGTTGCGCTGTGTTTTCTGAATTCCCCATTCATGTTGCTGAAGAAAGAGAATAAAATGTACTCTATTTTCTAACAGAAGGAGGTATAAACTTTTGTGAAGTCTCACAGTTGTCACCACGTCATTTATGAGAACTGTTACAATCCTCTACCTTCCAAAAATTTAAATAAAATTCAAAGAACTGGATTCTATTGAAAGGGACGCTATTAGCATATAAATACAACAGAATAATTTCAGAATAGTACACGTATCCAGAGTATGACATGGGAAAGAGTTTACTAATAATTATAAAAACCCATGAATTCTATTGAGCATACAGTACTATTCTTTATTAGCACTATGTCAATTGTGTGAGAAATATGTTTTTGTGTTAATGAAAATAAATTATTTTACCATCACTCTGCGCTGTTTGTATACTTAATTATAACACAGTTAAAATATTGCTTTGCACCAGTCAGAACAGAGCATTTTCCTTTTATATAGTTTCTTCTTTCCCAGGGGTAAATTTTAATGCCCTGAAAGGCCAACGAAGGTCAGGACTTCTTGACTATGTCTCAACAGTGCATTTGTGGTCATCAAAAGAAATAAGCCTTGACCACTGGTAGCTGCTGTACGAGTTTCTTTTATCCTGCACCTGTGACAATTACCCTGTGTTAGTGAAGCTAACAGGAGTCAGGTTGTAGGTTAAGGGTCAGGGCACTGTCAAGAGGAAGTTATTCTTCAGTCCACTAAATCTGTTATCATTTTCATCTAATGTGACATCCATCTGTCAATCAGGGAATTTAGGCAATTGTCTTATTCTAAGTGCTGCACTTTATGCCTCAAACAGCTCACATTTTACTACTTTTCTTATAATTACATTTTTCTACCTCTGAAAACCCATCTGCAAAATAAACACTGAAAATCTTATTCAATCATTTCAAAGGGCCAGGCTTTTTATACTAAACGCTGTTTCACTTACAAAATTGAGTGGTTTCTCTGCAAAGTTTTATATTCACTTAATTTTCATTTGTTATGGCTTTTTAGCTTATAGAAGGAGAGTAAAGCTCCCTTAAGTATCAATATAAGTTTTTCTGTACAAATAATGACTGCCAAATGCATGCCAGTCAAAAGGGATATGCATCATACACTTTATATACAGCATTTTGTGCACACCATGGAAATTGTGTGATATACTGACATGTAACAAGGCCAAATTTTTGTAATGGACTTCTTTGGAATTGTCAACTACCATGCAGTTGAATTGACTTAAAATGAACTCAGACTTGGTGCAAGTCCATTTATAGTACAGTAGACTAAAAGTCCCAAACTGTTTTAGGGCCTGATTCATCAAACCACATTAAGCAAGTGTTTTTTTTAAGCACGCTAGTCAACAAAGCACCTAAACAAATTGTTATCTGCCCTTGAGTCTCAAGTGCAAAGTTCAGCCTGTGCTTAAATGAGATTACTCACATGCTTAAAATTAAGTATGTGCTTAAGTGCTTTGCTGAATCCGGACTTTAAATGCATTGCATAGTGAAAATGACAAACAGTGAGCATCAACTTCTACTGAAGTTGCTCAGTTTTGATATTAAGCTTTGCTAGGGTCCAAATTCTGGCCTCAAGCACTCTAGGACCCACACAGATGTAACTCCTTTGACTACAAAGGAAGTATTCAAGAACTGCACTTGTTTAGCTGAAGGTTTGTCTCGACCAGGGGGAACTCAACCTCTCAAACTTTTTCTTTCTGAGTCCCTGCCCCCACCCCGCCATCCCCCTGGCTATAAAAACTCCACAGCCCACCTGTGCCACATTAGCTGGTGTTCTGCATATAAAGGCCAGGGCTGGTGTTAGGGGGTAGCAAACAGGGCAATTGCCTGGACCCCATACCAAAGGGGCCTCCAAGAGGCTACTTTGCTCAGGCTTCAGCTTCAGCCTTGGGTGGCTGGGCTCAGGACCGCAGGCTTCAGCCCTATGCGGTGGGGCTTCGGCTTTCTGCCCTGGGCCTCAGCTTTCTGGAGGGCCCCCTGAAACCTGCTTGAGGCCCCCTAGGGGCCCCAAGATCCCTGGTTGAGAACTAGTGGTCTAGACAGAAAGTTAGTGCATGCTGAAGTTTAAATCTACAGCGGTCTAGTGCAACACACACTAACCACCTGTGTGGATGCTGCTGCCATGCACTGCAAGAACTTTTAGTGCATGGCAGCAGGGTCCACAAGGACTGTTAGAGTGCAGCAGATTTACACCCCCCAGTTTGCTGCACACTAGTGTGCCATCTAGGCAAGCCCTGAGAGCAGAATTTGATCTCAGAACTTTTCACTTTAAGTAGCTGTAGTAGCTGCCAGTAGTAGCCTCACAGCCTTGTACAGTACTAGAGGGACACACATTCCACCTTTGAAGGCCCAAAAATGGGATGCAATGTGTGACAGAGACTCAAAAAGAGGAGCACAAAATAATTCATGCAAGAAAGATAAAGTGCTGTGGCATTGATCCCGTCTATGTAAATAATTCTTTTTAGAACCTCTGTTGACATCAGAAATAAAGAATCCTGAAACTATTTTCAAATTATTGAGTGACACAAGGAACTTTAATGTTAAAATCAGTAACATCTGTCAAGATGAGGAACTGTTAAGAGATATAATTATACCAGAAATGAATCTGGCCTATTGTATCTTAGAAGTAACCATTTCCAATCATCTCTATGGCTCCCAAAGAAAACATGAGATATAGGAATAATCAGATAAAGGGTTCTTTGTAAGATATAATGTAGTATCTAATACTAAAGATAATGAGGCATATACATATATATGTACTCCACCTGATCCCAGGGAATTATTTCCTTAATTTACAAATGCAAACAACTCCAAGCTAACTGTATTTATTAGTTATGACAAGGAGTGAGGTTTTGAAGGAGGTTGGTGACACCATCACCACATCTGAAGGCTTGTAGAAGAAAGAAGCCAGAACCTGGGACAGATCTTTCCCTATTCCCCTGTATTCTGTTATGTCCTTCCCCAAACCAATTGTTCTTACACATACATTCACACATTTCCCCCACCTCTCTGCTACACTTGGGAATTCCATGAAGAAAGGTGGTAGAAGGGGTGGAAGATCAGTTACTGTTTGACTTGTCTGAGGTTCTCTTCCCTTTGCCCCTCATTTGTAGTTTGATCCTGAGCACCAGCAAAGTACGGAAATATGTGCTTAAATTAAGAACATGAGTAGTCATACTGAATTTGGGGCATGGACAGTCCTGTCTGTACAGTGCCTAGCACGAGACGGTCCTAATCCTTGACTAGGGCTCCTAGGCAGTACCACAATACAAATAAATAAATATAGAACAAGCAGCGCTGGAGCCAGTCAACCTGGTACTGGCCATGGAACACGAACCTGAAAGCTAAGTCCCAGTGGTTTGATGTATAGTGCTAGCATAGGATGAAGGGAAGAAAAATTGAGGATGAATGTAATGAGGTTACAAGATTACCCCTAGTA